TGCATTTACCGTATTCTACCTGTTTCTGAAATCTCGCGACTCCAACGCAACAAAATTTTAATAGCTACAATTGGAATCTTGCAGCCCAATTGTATACTTTTGTTGACAATTAGGTAGGAGCTAATTCATCTGGCAAAAGTCTCGCAGTTCCGTAAATGGTGGGAAAGTTCTAATTGCGGCCCTAACCCTAAAGGATGATGTTTTCCACGCTTGCCCTCTATAGTTTCAAAAAAAGCCTGATCAAACCACAAGATTTTAAATATATTGAAAATGTCAGTATTGAGCCATAAGATTTCATTAGTAAATAGTAGATTTCTAATCTTGAAAGTCCTTATGAATGAGACATGAATGCCACTGCACTTGGCAATTTTACCCATTCTAATCCAAGCACATTGTGTCAAATGATATAGCCTATTTAAATATGGTTAACATAAGAATTGTTGATGAGAAGTGGCTATATATACAAATATTTCACAATATTGAAAATGAAATTTGTTTCATTGAAAATTTGACAATTTTATGAAATGATGGTTTGTGAACCATGATTTCTTCAATCAAAAATACATGACATTAGAGCTGCCAGATTTCATACCTAGTGAAATTAAGGATATTGGAGCCACAATATTTTTCAGAAAAATATAGAATTTTTCCCAACTAGCATATAAGGACTTTGTCAATAGGGGCTGTTCACTTGTTTAGATTTGGATCACAATTAAAGTACAGCTTGAGATTTTACAGTGGGTGCAAAAAGTATCTGACACTAAGGAAACACTTTAATTAAGGCTTATTCAACAAAATTACATAAAGAAACATTATTCTTATATAAATTTACATAAGAAATAAAAATATATGTATAAAAAAACAATATCTTTAAATGTTGACTTAATGATTGCAATTTTGCAAAAGTTAGAGTTCAAAAAGTGTCCAACACTTAGCAAACAAATTTACTCAATACTTTTTCATGTGACCTCTAGCAGCCAAAACTGTTTCTTACTGATCAGAATACCTTTTCACAATATTGACACATATGCTATTTATTTTTTTTATTTTTTTTTTTTTTAGGTATTTTAGCCCACTCTTACTTGCATATTTCTTTCAAGTTACATTTGGATAAGATCTCTTGCATCTCTTTCAGGTACCCTCACTTGCATCTCTTTCAGGTACCCTCAATTTCAATTCTTGCCAGATTTCAATTGGATTGAGGTCAGGCGATTGGCTTGGCTATTCCAATAACTCAATGTCTCACTCCTGAAATCATGCAAGAGTTACCCTAGCCATGTTCTTAGGGTCATAGTCTTATTGGAATATCTAACCTTGAGGAAGGTTCAATTTTTTGACTGACTCCACGTGACATCTCTCAGGAATTACCCGCACATTTTGGTGTTCATCCTTCCTTCTATGATTTCTAATTTCCCAGGGCCTGCCGAAGAGAAACAACCCCAAAGCATTATGCTGCCACGTCCAAACTTCACTGTTGGGACAGTATTCTTTGGGTGAAATGGAGTTCTTCTGTCTCCAATCACGATCTGACATTGTTCTAACATAACAACTTAATTTTAGTCTCAACCAACCATGATATTTTATCCCAAAAGCTTGGAGGTTTACTCAAGTATTCTTTAGCAAAGTTCTGGTGGTTCTTTATGTGATTTTTCCTTCAAGAGAGGACTGTGGCAAATGCACTGCAAAGATATGGATCTTTAGCCCAAAATGTTGCCATCTATATTCAGGATACTGTAAGGGGCACTCCTAACCTTCAAGCTTCTTCACCCTTCAAGACCGGTTATCAGCTTTTATCACTCAGGCAACTCAGAAACTAGCTAAACAACCAAACAGCAGGACAGATGAAACACAATACTGATCCACCCAATTGAACTTGCTATCAAGATGACAGATGGGTCTTTACAGATGGTCTTTTCTTATGAAGAAAGATTGAAGATTATGAAGCTTCCCAGTCTCCGTTATCGTTGCCTGCGTGGTGACCTCATTGAAGTATACAAGTATACTCATGGTTTGTACAAGGTCCCAGAAGGATTACTAGAATTTAAATCAAGAACCAGCACCAGGGGCCACAGCTATAAACTAAAAAAACTGCGGTGCAACTTATCCACGCAACATTTCTTCTTGCTTCGAGTCACTGACATGTGGTACAGCCTCCCTGAAGATATTGTTGACGCTCCGAGTATGAACGCGTTCAAGAACAGACTAGACAAGGCCATGCATGAGCATATGTTTAGTCTTAAAATGCCTCGTACCCTACGGAACAACTGATACCTAGAAGCTATTTTAAATCTACTGTCCGTTGAAAAGATCTGATCAAAAGGCCAGTCTAGTCAAGAAAAGTACAAGAACCAGTGACGGGCCTATCCAGGCCTATTCTTTAAATGCCAAAGATACTATACTATACTATACTATAGGTACTTTACATCAGGGTTGGTGATTTTTTTTTATTTTTTTTTTTAAATTAAAAAATGGAAAATCAATGTTTTTTTTTTTTTTCATGATTTTTTTTTTGTTAATTGATTTTTTCAGCTTTTTTGTCTTTCTGAAATGTTATTTTTCATATTGCAATTAGCCTACCGTAAAATGGGTAACTTTGACCACTTTTTTTTCAAATGATGCCATTTTTTTACTAGATACGTTAAACTTAAATTGAAACCTGCAAAATTCAGGTCTATACTCTAGCTTCACTTAACATAAATTGCTGGCTCCTGCCTCTCATAGTTTTGATGTAATTTCAAAAAAAGTGATGGTCAAAGTTACCCCAGCTCTTGGGGTTTCTTTGACCGGGTAGTAAAATCAATTTTATTTTTTGGTAAAATAACTCCAAATAACTCCAGGTTGTGGTGCATTGTAGTAGAACTTTTCTTGTTACATATGCAAATGATAAATTTTAGGAAAGTGTCATAGTTTGCAAATTGGGGGTGCTGCCCCACAATGGGCAAAATGTGACCACCTAATGGCAGCCATGATGAGGTAACATTGACCGGCTTGGAAATTAAGTTAAAATTACCATATATGAGACTCTGTAGAGTCTGAAACATAAAGAAAAAACATTAATAGGTGTATCAAACATAAAATATGTTATATAGGTACATATGGTAATTTTAACTTGATTTCCAAGGCGGTCAATACCAATAAACCAATACTAAACATAAACTGAACAACAACCAATCAAACCTCAAAGTTCAAACGACTTGAAACGAGACTTATGTTAAGAGAAAAGCTAATACTGTTTGAAATAAACATGTACACAATTCAAACATTTTACACACAATTGTCCAACACAATTCAATGCGTTTAATTATTTTATGTATAGTTATATAATTGTAATTGTTTTGTTTTTAGTTATAATTCCTATATTTAAAGATTGAAATTAGGTACTGGTATTTTTATTAGAATACTCATATTAGGGTTAAATGTTAAAAAGTAAAAGTAAATTTTAAAGTCTTGATCTTGGTTTGAGATGTGATTTGTGAATGGCTACCTATTTCATTTGTACTTCTTTTATGAAGTGTGCCACATCTTCAGCAAAGTGATTTCTTCAGTGTGACTGTACATTATTCCAGCAGAATAATTTCTTCCCTGTGACTGTACATTATTCCACCTAAGTAATTTCTTCCGTGTGTCTGTACATTATTTCAGCAAAGTCATTTCTTCCATGCAACTGTACATTATTCCAGCAAAGTAATTTCTTCCATGCAACTGTACATTAGGCCAGCAAAGTCATTTCTTCCATGTGACTGTACATTAGGCCAGCAAAGTAATTTCTTCCATGCGACTGTACATTCTGCCAGCAAAGTCATTTCTTCCATGTGACTTTACATTAGGCAAGCAAAGTAATTTCTTCCATGCAACTGTACATTAGGCAAGCAAAGTAATTTCTTCCATGCTGCTGTACATTATGCCAGCAAAGTCATTTCTTCTGTGTGACTGTACATTCTGCCAGCAAAGTAATTTCTTCCATGTGACTTTACATTAGGCAAGCAAAGTAATTTCTTCCATGCAACTGTACATTAGGCAAGCAAAGTAATTTCTTCCATGCTGCTGTACATTATGCCAGCAAAGTCATTTCTTCTGTGTGACTGTACATTAGGCCAGCAAAGTCATTTCTTCCATGTGACTTTACATAGGCCAGTAAAGTCATTTCTTCCATGTGACTGTACATTATTCCACCTAAGTAGTACTTTCTTCCATGCAACTGTACCTTATGCAGCAAGTACTTAGTCCCCCACCCCCTTGTTCATTCACATATGTTATCTGATAAGAGTACTTGTATCACTGCTACGCCCAAGAAGCTGCCACTGCAGATAGTTTTGCAAGGTTGCAGCTACTGACATGGAAAAATCTGAAAGCTATGCTGTCTAATACTAAGTTCAGGCAAAGAACATTTGTTGAGCTCATCAATAGTGTGGGTGTGAAACATATTACAGCTTCATCAATGAATGTGTTCGATATTTGAAGTAGTTTTTTGTCTGTTTTTCTTGTTTTAGTAGTGGATTGTTCATTTAAAAATTCAGTCCTCAAGCATTCTTTGCAATTGCACTAAATCCAATTAACTCCCTCAGATAATTCCAAATAATTCTCAACATGCTCTGAAAAATTTACACTGTCATTGTGAGTGCTCTTTTATATATTTATGAATTCTATTGATTTATGATGAGCTTGTAATTCTATCCATACTCATTCATAAATTCTGCACAATCAGCATCAAGTGAAATTTGATTATTATTCAATATTAATTTAATTTACCTTCTCTCAATTCTCCTGCTATTGGTTTGAAGTAATTTGATTTCTTATGCATTGTTGTTACATTGACTTGAATCACTCACACTAAATTTTGACTGTACCGCATATGTTCCAAATGTTTTATTTTAATTGTTATTTCTTTCATTCTGGCAAGCCTTCAGCCATGAGGCTTGCAATAAATTTTTCTTGTGGGTGATAATCTATTTTCCTCATTGATTTTATTTTTCTATTATTAAAGCCTTCCCAATTTTCAGGCATATGATGTGGTTGCTAACTATTCTGAGGAAGATCTACGGGACTTCTTGGCATGTGTCTCCACTGGCAACAAAGGCAACAAGGACACCACCAAGAATGAAAAAAGCACCATTGCTCAGGTACTGAATGTTGCCTTCATATGTTCTCCCTGTTCCTTACAAAACAAGGAAGTGAAACATAACTTGGATTACCTTCACATATTCTCTTGCCCATAACTTCCAAAAGTAGGACGTGATAAACAAGTTTAATTACATCATTAAATTCCCCTTCCTGTTCATGACTAGTTTCACATAAATTATATATGTGTCCTGATGAAAGTTTTGTTTTTGATGAATATGGTAACAAGATTAGATTATTTTTCAGATTCTTTTAGAGAGAGAAACTGCTGTACTTCGAGAAGAGTCAGGATCTGGAGATGATTCTCCAGACTCAAGCAAACAGAATCAGTTCTCTCGCTCTAAACCTCGGCACTCTAGCACTCGTTTTCTGTATAACCGCTATGGAAGCCAATCATCTCATCGCATCCACAGCTCTTACTCCTTCGATCTGAATCACGGCAAAAGCTCCGCAGCTGCCCGCAACACTGCAGGGTCCCTGGGTTCTCTTCATGATCTCTCAAATTGTGATGCCCGTTCTTCTGCTCAGAGCAGCTCAGCCAAAAACACATCATCGCATTGTAGTGCAGGGAGAGCTGGACAGGGTGCTGCTTCTAAGTGCTGTGTTGACCAGGGTGCAGGGCAGGAAGAGTGTGTTGGAGTGAACCGACCTCCACCTCTCAAAACCTACTCAAGAGTTCGAACAGGTACTTCATTTTTTCAAGGAATATCTGTTCAATATAATTGCTCAATTCTGTGTTTTTCTGGAAGACTACGGTAGTCTTGAACCATAAATTGACGGGTTTTTCATATATAAAAAAAAAGCTCAGAGTTAAATCTGGCAATTAATTTGTCACATGTTCTTCCAAAGATGGTTTTGATGAATGCAGTAGATTTACTAAGTACGAAGTTTTTGGTATGCTTTTGTGCTATTGCATCTATTTGTTGCAAACTAATTGAGGGTGAGGGTATATTTGTTCATTTTATGTTCTCCCTTGCAAATTAAATATGGGTGAAAACATTTTTAGTTGTACATATAGTTCAAGTAGGGTCTGTTCTCACTCTCATTTATGAGCTACGGTATTATGCAGGGTAAGTTCCTCATTCTGTTGAAGTTCATCAAATACAGTGGGGGGAAATAAATATTTGTACACTTGAAAAATCGTATTTTAATGTATGTAAGTACACAAACTTAACAGGAAAAGTGATTTAAATTATGTATAGAGACGCATAGTATTAAAAAATACTATCAAAAGAAATTAAATCTCAATGCAACAAAAAACAATGCAACATGTTCACTTCTCGGGTGAAAAAAGTATTCGTACAAAACAATAAATCCGCATTATTTTAATTTAATACTTGGTTGAATACCCTTTATTCAGCTCAACAGATACCTGTCTATTTCTATACGTCTCGACCAATGATTTGCAGATGCTGACTGGTATTTTATACCATTCTTCTTGGCACACCACCTTAAGATTCTCAATGTTTGTTGGGGACCTTTTCTTAATTTGAATCAACTAATCAACTAATTCAACATATCACTTATAGATGGTAGGATGAATGCTGCAAACTACCAGAGCATCCTGGAAAATAATTTGACGACTTCTGTTGAGAAACTAGGACTACCTGGTGATTGGATTTTCCAGCAGGATAACGATCCTAAGCATACTGCAAGATCCACAAAGAAATGGTTCGCTGATAGAAATGTACACGTTATGGAATGGCCAAGCCAGTCGCCGGACTTAAATCCGATTGGAAATTTGTGGCGGTATTTGAAGATTCAAATTAAGAAAAGGTCCCCAACAAACATTGAGAATCTTAAGGTGGTATGCCAAGAAGAATGGTATAAAATACCAGTCAGCATCTGCAAATCATTGGTCGAGACGTATAGAAATAGAATGGTGACTGGTATCTGTTGAGCTGAATAAAGGGTATTCAACCAAGTATTAAATTAAAATAATGCGGATTTATTGTTTTGTACGAATACTTTTTTTCACCCGAGAAGTGAACATGTTGCATTGTTTTTTGTTGCATTGAGATTTAATTTCTTTTGATAGTATTTTTGAATACTATGCGTCTCTATACATAATTTAAATCACTTTTCCTGTTAAGTTTGTGTACTTACATACATTAAAATACGATTTTTCAAGTGTACGAATATTTATTTCCCCCCACTGTATTTTGGTTAGACATGCATTTGCTCAGTGTTATAGTGACAACCAAGCATGTATGGTGAACCTTCACCCAGTAGCGTTTCCTTTTCAATGGCACTTGCCTCGATTGTAGATGTGACAAGAGACCAATTTTATTTTGTAATGACAACATTGCCACTTCGTCAAAAAACTTGACTAAGTTTATATTACAGATGACTTATGTGATTATATGTCCTCAAAATCATTTGAAATATTAATGATTTTGTAACTAAACACATGAAGCTGCCGGACTAAAGCTTTCATATACTCGCATTACAGTGTGTACCCTTTTGTATGCTACAGTGAATATTGCATTTTCATGTAGTATTTGTAACGTAGCTCATTTGAGGTTATTAACAGTTAATTAATCACCTGAAATGTAAAGATGCATGACTTGAAGGTTATGTCGCAGGTGGGTCGTGTGGTAATTTGTCACGCAGCTCATTCGACACACAGCCTCCTGGCAGCAGGAAGAAGAACCGTCGCAGCAAGGGAAGTGATCCCGCCAGCACCAGCACTAGGGAAGGGGGCTCACTACAGGTGAACTGCTTCCAAATAAAGCATCTCGTGTCTGCATTCTTTTGATAATCTTTTGTTCAGATTATTGATGTTTCATTTTTTAGTGCAATTGAAATGTTCATTGTATTGTGTCTGTCATTTATTTACGGTAGTGCTGCCGTATTCTTCCGAGCTTTTAGCATAATCAATTTCCAGTTTATATTATTATGGCAAGAAATATTTAAATTAGTCTGAAAAATCCTTAAATTTGAATAAGAATTGACTGTGCTATCTTAATTCGCTTTAGAACCTGAGCAAGGCTGAGTGCTCTAGAGAAGATGTGCCGAAGGGTCTACAGAAGTCGGGCAGTTTAAGCCAAGTATTCACTGAAGAAAACGATCCTCCAAAACACAAGGTATGCACTTTGTGTACCTAGTATAGAAGGTCACCACTGTCATTCTTGCTGTTGAAAATATCTCTTGTTGCAGCTGCAGCAACTGTACTCTAAAATACAAGACAAATATTTTACCACTGAAAGGGCTTGTTTTGAAATAATTTGTTCCTCGTACAGAGTCGGCGGCAAAAGGCCAGCAGTGAGACACAGCACCGCGCTTCAGAAGAACGCTCTTTGAGAGCTCAGGACTCCACCTCCTCAGATGATGAAGATGAAGTGAGCTCGTATCCACCATACCAGCCCCTCTTGCCCCACCACTCGCCTCTACTCTCAAGACGAGAACTTGCTGCTTCTGGGGTCAGTCCGCCCTTCAGCCATGAATAATTTTATTTGCCATCCCGACATTGTGAGCTCATTTCGTCACTTACACAACTCACCATAATCCACCATACCTCACCATACTTCCCCACCACCTTCACCACCTCCAAAGTGATTGAAATCCCTCTTTGAATGGGCTCTTGATTTGCCAGGAATGTCAGTCCAAAAAACACTCGACTGCACTGCGGCAAACGAAAGATTTTTAGAAACCAGTTCATTTATAATTTCCTGATCTAGTTAAATATTTTATTCGATATCTATGAATGATAATGCTGGTATCCAGGATACTTAACTAGTCTACTCAAAATAGAATAGTCTAGAAAGGTTTCGGCTTTACCGCTATAGGTCATCGTGATATTGTATTAAACATAGTTCAAATGACCGTTTCATATTCCATATTATATCGTTGAACATAAAAATGTTCTCTCTACTTGTTCTACTCTCTTTTTTTTTATTCCATTTGAAAATTAAAAGATTCTCTTTTTATCCTATTGAGATTTATTCAATATATTATATCTGAGGTAAATATGCTGTTGATGTTTACATAACCTTTTTTTGTGCGACAGGGAGTGGTCTCATGTGAACACTCTGGCTGTCCTTCTCCTGCTTCTCCCATCTCTTCTAATGATGAGCCAATGAGTGTAGAGGTGAGATAACTGAACGTGTCTGCTTTAATTTCTTTACTGCAATGTCCTTCATTGTACCACCAACATATTTCCCTTCCCTAATCATATCAATACATCACATTTTATCTATTTTGTTATTTGCTTACCAAATGATGTAATATTTTTAGCGCATTTTCTCATTTATGGAAAAAATGCGGTATTGTGCTCGCCATGTCCGTCCGTCTGTCCGTCCGTGACTTCACGTTTTCGTCAACGAGAAAATTTGCTCTCTGTCACTCACTGCAGTGAGTACTGAGTTATTTTTTCCTGATGAGCAGGAGGCATTGTAACTTCTCTTAAAATAATTTTCATGGAATAGCGAATTTCCTCTTAATCTGTCCATTGCCCAAATTAACCAGACTATTCCAAAATATTTTTGATGGAGCTGCTTTGCGTGCATTTATTCTCTTTTGGTTACGTTTTTTATTTTATTTGGACAAAATTATTGCATTAATTAATCATATTCATTATATCTAAGGGTATCTTATAATATGAGAACCATAATATTTGTGCACAAATGTGCAACGTTAGTATAGTTGGCAGAATTTGTTACTTTAGGCAGGTTTCATTAAAGACCAGAGAATTTGTTTTATTGACGATTTTCTTATATGTTTTTTTCGACATAATGATCAATATTTTTTTTTCATTTATTAAATGTGCAATGTACGCCCTCAGGTGGAAGAAATGCGGCGGTGCGCATACACCACGACGGCCGCTTCTGCTGCAGCTGACGCTGCTGCGGTCGATGCAGCTGCAGCTGCTGCTTGTCTAGGCGCTGCGATCTCAGCAGGAGCCCTGCAAGACCCTGGCGAGGAGCTAGTCGAGGTCATCACACATACGGCTCTCAGGTGCCTCTAGTTCAAAAGTTCACATGCATACCCGACTTGAATTGTGTGAACTTTGTTTGACCCGACTTGACAAAATTGAACAATTACAGTCGGGTCATTACAAATGACCCGACTTCAATTGGGTCATTTGTAAGCCTTTAATTAATACTTATGTCAAATTTTTAGATCCTGGTCGTCTCTGTTGTTGGCACATTTTAAACTCTTCTTGAATTCTACTTCTCCAATTGTTCATGGTCAAGATTCTTGTGTTTGTCATTTTAGGTGTTATACACCAGGCATTTCCCGTTGAAACAACTTTCATCGGACGATCCAACAAAATCAATTTGTAATCAACGCTTTTTTATCTTCATTGGCCTGTAAGGTAGCAAAAGTACAGGTAAGATGACGCATATTGATGAGCTTCTTTGCGCACAGGGACACGACGCATGCCTCGTGGCTAGAGAAGAGCGCCAGCCCCTCAGGTCGCCGTCGCAGCACCTCGCCCCACTCCACCGCTGTCGACAGCCAAGTTCCCTTCTTCAGCCGCACTACCATCACGCCGTCGCGCAATTCGGTAATCCATTGAAAACTTTAAGTAAAAATGAAATTTTGATGAAACTATCTGGTCATATTACTTGCCCTCCATTCAATACATGTGTTAATGAACTTAGATAAAAGAACTTTAGTCTCAACTCACGCTCATCTTTATGACAGGATGGAAGGAGCAAGAACAGCTATGGTCGTAGTCACTCCATTGAGTCCAACGCTTATTCCAATAAATCTGCAGGTAAGACTTGACATATTCAAGTAGAATTGTGCGTTACATGCTGGGGGAATGGAAGACTGCTATTAGCTCTCATTAAACAAATTCTGTCATGGTTTTGATTTGTATATACTGTTTCTGTGAAACTAATTACTATAAATTCTAAATTTCTATTTTGTCTTCTCGGTTTAGAATATTGTGTGTATCTCGTCGTAAATTGACCAAAAGATTTGGTATACTAGTGAGTTTTAGGGTTAGGGGAGCTGTGTGCAAACTATTTGAAAACTTCAAACATTAACAGCTGATTGGAAATGAGGCTTGGTATCTTTCTTTGAAAATTAAATTTACAAATTCATAATTCACATCTCTAGATGAAAGAGGAAGCGAGAGAGAGAAACTTCAAACACAACACAGCGAGCCATCACAGGTGTGTTTGATTTTGGTTTCTATTGGATCATGAGTGCGTTTTATATAAAACACTGGATTATCGCACAATAATTGTTTCAGAACTAATTTTCTGCGACTGATATTTACACTTTCTTATTTTTAATGTGCCATCATTTCAACGCTGCATGATTTGTATTCAATTAATCAAAAACTAAATGGCCTCACTGAACAGTTGGGTCGACGCAAGGACAACTCCATTGACTGTCCATCGCCTTCAAGTCACATCTACTCGACTAGCGGGTCCTCACACTGCACGTTCCCTGGTAGCAGCAGCGTCGGGGCATCGCACATATCGCCTGTGGAACTCGGCAGAGATCACAATCAACGCTTTGCTAATAGGCTTAAGCAGAGCCGAGTCAAGAAAAAGGTCCTTTATATAACATTATCTGTGTAAACTTTTTGTCTTTAAAATATTAGTCTCTAGTTTATCGTGAGTGGAATGAAATTCAATCTAATTGTTTAAAGCATTCGTTCCTTCCTCATGTTCACTGTTTGCTATTGCTTTTAAAAACAATTACTTGATGCTTATGCTTTTATTGTTTGATCACTCAATTGAATTTTATTTGCAGCTTGTTTGTAATTTTTTTCTGATGATCTATTGTGCTTACAGAGGCAGCAAGAAGTTCAGACAGTCGACACTTCGTCGCCCTCGTACAAGGGTGACCAAGACATAGGATCTATCCTCGTATACCTGGGAGAGGAATGCTCTGACGTTACTTCAGGAGACCCAAAGAAGAAGAAAAGAAAACAGGACAATTCAATGAGTAAAAAAGATGACAAGAAAGATTCTACTAAAAGAGGAGTGGGAAGCGAGAGCCTTTCCAAGAAAAATGATGATACTAAAGATGACCACAAGAAAGAAGATAGCGGAGGAGGAGGTACGAATGACAAGAAAAAAAGGCAAAAAGAGGAGAAGAAGGTTATTGCTTCAAATAATGAAGACAATGAGGCATCTTCGAAGAAAACAAAGAAGGAATTGATTGAAAAAGAACTGAAAAAGAATGGATTCATTACTCCTTCCTCCAGCCTCGATTGCAGCGTGGCAGCGAGTGAAATAAGCAATTATGAACGCAAAAGCAGTTTAGATGGGAGTTATCTCGGCTGTGATACTACTTCTAGCGTTAGGAGCAACTTAGAGTCCAGTAAAAACATAAATAGTATAAGTGATACCGAGTGCAAGACTAGTATTAGGAAGCATTCTGAGGATAAAACAGTTATTGAATCTGTGCATAAAATAAATAATAAGAAAACTGATGAACGTAAACAAAGCAATAGCTCATGCGTTAACCCCGAAGCCTCTAATAGCAAGCGCTCAAAAAAGAATAGCAAGAGCAACCAAGGGATGCGAGAATCCAGTAGTGTAGAGGATTTGGTGTCCAAGTGTAGAATGTCCGAGCAACTGAATCAAGGCTCAAAGCAAACTACTGTTGATGATGGAGCAATGACTAAGAAACGCCAGCAGAAGAACGCTAGAAGGCAGGCGACCGAAACCTCGCTTCCTTCTTCCAACTCTTCCACAGCTACCGCGACCTTCAAGGAAAACCAAAACACAAAAGAGAAGAATCGGAGGACGGTTGATGATATCAAAATAAAGTCTTCGTCTGGTGCTAACAAGTCCGGAAGTGGTAGCTCAAGTTTAGCTAATAGTAAGAAACTGTCCAAGCGTCTTTCTAGTAGCAATTCGAATCTGAATTCATCAACTAAGAGTAGTGAGTTCGGACGAGACTTCTATGAAGCAGGTGACCCATATATTGAAAGCTTGCCTCACAATGAGGCTTCTGTGTATGATACCAATAATGAGTTTGAACTTGTGACAAGGCGCAAAAATCGGAGTAAAAGACTAGCTTCATCAAGTTACAACAACTCAAACAACTATCCTGTTACTGTAAAGTTGCGTTACCCTGATGAAAATTTCGGGCGTGATGGATATAGAGAATTGGTTTATCAGAAAAGCCAATTGAGTCGTAATCAAACGAATACTCTCGCTCCAAATAACCAGCAAAAATTTTCTTCAAATGCATCTCACTCTTCAAACTATTGTCATGGCAACGACAGTCACGCAGCTGCTAAAGTAACTTCAAATATTGGGAAAAAACCTATCAATTTTGATGAAGCTCCGCGGACACCTCACGATGGTAGTTTCATGGCGCGCCTGTCTGCTACAAACTCGGGCGACCGCAACACAGCTACTAGCGCTCCGAACAGTGACTGCTCTGACTCTGACGGCGACGATTCTGTGCACTCAATGCCAACTCCCTCCACCACGCCGCGTCCTGAGGTTTGCAAACCTCCATCGTCTAGCAGTGCTGCGCCTCTTACTTCTTACGCCAACATAGCAAGACTAGCAAGCGCTGCCAACAGGAACCAAGTAAAGAGACTGACCTCAGCTCCTCAAGTTGGAAAAACTCCTACCGTTAGTACTTCTACGCCTTGCTCTGTCGGCGCAAGTGGCGGTTACAGCGCTGCCGCTTGTGCGACCAGCGATCAGTCTCTCCTCACTACGAACGCTTGGCCTTGTCTCAGTGCTACTACGGCAACTGTAGCGAACTCGGGAGCCGCTACCTCCGCCCCTGCAATACCATCTGTTGTGCGGTGGGCATCTGGTCCTGCTGGCCGGCCCGGCGACTCACAACATGTCACTCCATCTTTTGGATCGCCTCCTAAGCTCACTTCCGCTGCTGTTGCAGCTCACGATGCAAAACCACAGAATAAAATTCGCGATAACTTCCCTCCCTTGAAAAGCCCTTCGTATCCCAGCTCGTTCAGCCATCGCCAGACATCAACAGACTCTGACCCTGGCTTGCCTTATGCAAATCCTGCTGAAAACTTGGGCAAGACGGATGGGGGAAACGCAAAAATAATATCTGCATCTGATGCACGTTTGACTGTTGCTCCTCGAACGTCTCTTACTCCCGATACAGAGTCTAGTCTTTCAATTTCTAAAAATTTAAACCCCTCTCCAACTGATCGTTCAATTTCCAACAAGCCTCGTGCTGGGGCTCCTTCATCGGTTGTAGAAAACACGACAGACAGGAAAGCAGTGACGAGCAAGGAAGTTCGTCCACACACTGGGCGGGTGATGAATGGCCATGAAGAGACGGATCAGGCTCATGCTGAAATCATAAGTGTTGGTGAAAGAAAAGCGAGCCTTATCACTTCTGAAAAACAAGCTGTCGCAAAACAAAAATCTCTAAACCACGATGCTGCCAAGTTAATAACATCTGTGAATTCTACAAAAGCTTCTGCCGACTCGCTCGGTGTGGGTGACAAAAATCATATTTTCAAAATTGCAAACAAGGCAAAGGATACAAAGAAAAGACAGAATGACCCTGTTGTCTTTGCCGATTCTTTGCACCTGGATGATGTACGTAACAGCAATCTGACTTTCATGTTTGCTTCCAATGAAGATTTGACTAACATTGTTGTTTCAGGAACAAATGTTTCCGCTAAGAATCTTGTCAATTCCACAGCATCATTAACAAGAACCAGTCCGAAAGTTAAGACTCATATTGATAGTAATGGCAACCCTGTTAGTGGAGCTGGATCACCAAACTCTGGTGATATCAGTGAGAGCCATGACAATTCGGTGAGCTATTCCGAATCTCTAAGATCCACCCTACGGAAGAACAGTCGCGATAGCAGCTGTAGCAGCAATTGCACCGTCATCAACGCTGCATCTGCCACGACCAAAACACGTGCTCAATCAGCTGAGATGAACAATAGCTCATCTATTGCTGTAGTCTCTGCAGACGCGACTTTAGCTCCAGCTGCATCTGCGGATGTAAATTCAGCCGGCTTAGAAGTAACTAATGTGAATGAAACGAAGGAAGAACGTGTAATTTGTGACAACCCCTCCTCATATTCTGACCTCTCACGCTGGGGTGTTACTTTTCATCCTCCTGATGCCGACGATCCTGCATGGAACTTCAAGGAGGCTGTCAAATTCATCAGAGATAGTGAGTACCAAAATGTGTCGCTAGAACAGCTATAGAATTTTGCAAAATATAACATTTTAGGATACCTGGAATGTGGGTCGGATGAGAGAACGACATTCTGTGATGGAAGTCATTATGAACCAGGGAAATGCGATTAATAGAGTGGGGAATTAGAGAACAAGTAAGAGGTGGATTGTAATGAGCATGGGTTTGTCTGATGGAGCAACTGCTGCTGTGTTGGAGAGTGTATAAAATAATATTTGGGGAGCATGTGGAAGTTGAGTAGGATCATTAAGAACGAAGAGAGGGGGGGGGGGGGCTGCGGAAAGCTAAGTTGATCAAGCCCAATTCTTGTAAATTTGGTCCTATCTTTTAAAACGTACTTAAGCGATTTCTTTTTCAATTAAATATATTTTAGTCTCAGGTTTTTGTAGTGAATGCTTGTTGAGTGAATGTTTTAGCCCTTCTACGAAAACGTATTTTTTTTTACTTTGTTTTGTTTTTTGAAGAAATGAATGTGTTTTAGGTGGAAGTCCGGCATAAAGGTGCCAATGTATCATGCTAACTTGATTAGTATAAGAATATTAATTTAAACTTATTTTCCAGATTGGAAGATAATTGAAAAGGCTCTCCAGGAAGGTGACGACAGCATCGTGACTTTGAATCATAACTCAAACATTCCCAGTGGAGAAATGTAATCGGTGCGTGGCACGGATGACTATGTTTAGCTATGAATTGCTGTAGACGTTTACGGTGCAGTTGATGAATACGCAGTTCCCTTACTGACAACTGCTGGAGTCGTGTTGAGTGCACAACTCTTCTAATGCTGACTCTTGAAGTAGCCGAGTCTACGTGATAGCGAACTAATTCATGAAACTTGTTCAGTTTTATTTCATCTGTCGATTGTTAAAGTCTCTTTGCATGATCAGCATGAAAGTGAACAATTTCTCACTTAACGGTGAAGGACGATAAATCTACAAGCACTTTATTTCAATGTGTGTAGGGTAACTTGAATGCCCACATACGGACTATTTTCTGTAATATTAAGTCGTGGATAAATTTGTGTCAGAACTACGGAAACAAAAAGCGAGTGAACGCCTACTCACGGTGAAGCAGAAGACTCGAGTGCTTCTTCCTCGTATGTGTTAATGTACTCGTAACTTTAGTAGCCAAGCCGGCCAGGCTACTCGAGCTGAGCACAGTGGAGAGTTTAGAGACTTGCAAACACATGCTGGTTATGGTGCTTGGTTCAATGTTTATTCGTGAAGTCGAAATTTCACCTGCGATATCAGCATTGCCACTAACTTTGAATTTCTATGTGTATGTTTGAAGTGGAGTTGACTGTTTAGTTAATTCTACAACTGCTCATTACATTGTTTGAAATGTAATGCAAGAATTGTCTCTCACGATGTGTATTTTTCCATCAGGTTTGAGTCTGGTGTTAGAAAATTTTGTATTTGTAACGAACTTTAGTGACGATCGTTACGCATTGTTTTCATTTGGATGTAAATCTTCTTATAAGTAAGTAATAGCAACAGGAGCCTACTGTAGTTCAATCCATTGCAGCGCATGACGTGCCATATATACCACACGCAACGTGATGCATCCTAGTGAATCCGTTCAATTGTGCTGTCTGTGCCGAAATGATTTTTCCTCTTATTTATGATAGCAAATTTACATAAGAAACGGTATTGCCAGTCAGAGACATGGTCAGGATCTTTATTGCTTCATAGTGAAACTTGTGGCGCTGCAAGTGGTTTTTACTTGCCGTACATAGACTGATCGTTTAGTTGACATTGTTTGCCTTATGTATGATTTGCTTGTTTGACCGGTAAAATCTCTGAGGAAGTTCGATATGCGATACAGCTTACAAGATCTCACAAAGTTGACAGTATCATCTTGGACTCTTGGGCTCCTGCTCTTTCTTTCTTCTATATCAAAATGTCAAGCAACATGGACCTCGATTCCTGCGGGTCTTATGCATTTGTCATATGCACTGAATATTGCAAGTTATATTTTGGTGTTACACTTTCTGTTGACAAAAATTGTTGCTCGCTGTTCTCTTTAAGAAAATATTGGCATCATGAGAAATATGCCATCCCGTTTATATAGTTTTTTTAATCTTGTCATGTCAAGTAATTCTAGGGCTAAAATATCAATTTTTTAAATTTTCAATTATAAAATGCAAATAACATCCTCGAGTTGCTAGAAATCCAGCTAGTGAGAAAGAAAAGATTTCTATACGTGTTGAAATAAGAGTTGAGACGATCGTCACACTCGAAAAATGTGAAGTCATCTCGCAAGTAGTGTTTAAACATCGTTTAGTGATGGTTCGAGACCCGCTTGTTAAAGAAATCTGAAGCTATTTCCAAGTTAATTCATGTTGTAGTCAGAGCACTGATGTATTTTCAATATTTTTTTTGACTTTGCAATTAAATAATGGTTTTGTTGGCGCTTCTTGCTAAGTACACATTTAAATTTGTACCGAAGATATTTTCTTGTGTTAGATTTAAGATATAAATTTTTTTAATAGTTTAATGTCACTTGATAAACTTCCGACTTTAATTAATCTGATTGAGAAGAATATATTCAATGGATATCTAATGACTGAGAAAGTTTATCCAATCTGTAGTTGTGGCTTATTTCAACTATAACGAGAGTTGGACCTTCATCATATTGTTGTATAATATTCTATTGAAAATAATTGTCTACTCGAAATATCCTATTTTTTCACATATGTGACAACTCGGTGCACTAAGCCTATCGGTGTGGGATGTGATATATTCAGAATTAATTTTCCTCATGATATCAAAAGTCATACATTGCAATGATCATAGTCCATTCTCGTTTCAACTTTTTCAGTTTATAAATACCCGTTTCCTGAATATATTTCAATTAGTTTATGTTTACCCTCTTCAACATGAGTCTATGACACCTACGCAAATTCTTCGTTGTTAATTTTTTATAAGTATTATGATCCTGTTATTTTTTTGTAAAGTATGTAAGATTGTATATATCCATGCAATGGTTATTGATTTCGATCGTTATTAGGGCCAGATGCATCGCATATTCATGGGTGTGGAAACTTCTCTTTGTATTATATGATTGTTGTAATCGAATATTGTAACGCTATTTATCCTTGAAACGATTTTTGTGCCACGCTAGTGAGTTCTTCGTCAGAAGGGGTCATGCGCCTGAGAAGCGTTCTTTTGCTGGCACGGAACATCTGCTATTGAACATTAAGTGAGACGCGCGTGCTATTGAACATTAAGTGAGACGCGTGTGTCCATCTCCTGCCACGGAATGTAATGTAACTGTTTGTGAATACTGTCGTGAGCGAAACTTTTTGTCTGTAGATTAGCCCCCGTGTTTAAACGTGGTATTAACTTAGGGGAAATCGTAATGCACGATGCCTTGCTACTCGAAAAATCTCGATACATCTCAGAATTTTGTTAAAATACACTCGTTACATTCAGTTAGAATTCTAGTTGTTTTAGTAGATACTTTTTGTATGGTTCCTTCTGTTCAATTTTTATAGTAGGGAGACGATGGGCGTGAATTGCCTATATGAATATATTGAATTACTCTTGATCTTTTGTTCTGTCAGTAAAGTCATTGCTTCAACTTGGCAAGTCAATCAACTAATTCCTGTATTTTGCTGGTTTTTCTTGTACCCTAAACCTTGAAACCTAAACCCTATCACAAGTTTTAGCTCATAAATGCTTCTAGAGGTGGTTATTAATTTGATCGAGACATCTCCTGAATGGTTCAAAATCTGCAGTTTCAGCGAAATTGGATTTTTCTCTGAAAACCAATTACTGTTGAAGAAATAGATGGTTGTCAGCCTTTGCTCGAATATTACAACTTAGTCGTGTCTGCTGAATTTACATTGCTGTGCTAAAAGTCACAACACAACCACTTGATTCAATTCATGTGTAATCAAATGAGGAAAAAACTACTCAGAATTCACAGAATTACTTTAGTTTTAGGAATGCACTTTTGACAGTTGCTGAAATCCGTTTGCTCTTGTTTCTGCACTTTTACAGTTGTTGGAATCTCTCTTGTGTCTTTGTAGTCAAAATAGTCCGTCATCAAACCTCGTGATCTACTTAGGTATCTGCTGACTGGAAATAACTTCTGGTCCAAAGAATGTTTCATTTTTCTCCACAAAACATTAGCTGCCGCTCGATTCCAGAGAAACCCCAACGAATGGCCTTAACCCATTACAACTCTTGTGTACAAATTCGTTTTTTTAGCGTTATATTGAACCTTCCGAAATTGTTAAATTATTTGCGTAGTATAGGGTTAAAACAAGCAGTATATAAAGTTTGCGTTTGTTTCTTATTGTTGATTGCTTGCATTGCACATTTATTCCGCTTTGACCAGGTTAACTACTTGTACATTAGTTGCGTTGATTTTCTTCTCGCTGATTTTATTCTTGCCGCTGGCAACTTGCAAGATATGGTGCATAGAAACGAGCTGAAGACATTTACGGTGTTAATGTGAATTATATTGTTATATAATGGGAATGTGCACAGTAACTCGCGAGCTCCGAACAAACGCTGAAATGTGGCGTGCATTTTTGAATGATGTGTAAGGAGCCCAACGCCTGTTGTATAGTTTAAATGTCCTCGTATTAAGTTGCTAGCTAACGTGTGATGTTTGTAGTCGTAACCCAAGAATGTTATTGTTCTGATGATGGTGTAAATTATTGAGGTATGTGTTTGCTGTGACCTTAACAGCGTTTAGTCAAAGATGTGAATCATTCATAGTGAATTTATCCATGCTCAGTCAAAGGTTTATTATGAAGATAACAATCCTTGATCTCTGGCCATGAGTCAGTGGCTGCTGAGGCCGAAAGCCTCTCGTCAGGCTATTCATACGAAAGTGTTCTTGATCAATTTGGTACATCTCTCCAATGGTGTTTTTTGGCATCATTTTGGTGAATGTTTTTTGGATACATCAAAGTATGAATGGCTGTGTATATTTCAGGCATAGAATTTTGGTTGTAATTTTGTGCGAGTGGAGAATCATATCTTTTGAACATTAGTAGTTCTTCTTAGAGTAACTTGAGAGCAAGTATCTAACCTAGCGGTTGAATATTGTAAATTATTCAAGTTTACTCTTGAGATGATATGAAGTGAGTAAACTCGAGAAGTCGCATTTTTCACAGGCTTAGCTGTGTTGTAACTAGTTTGCATCTGCTGCTGTCTCTCTTGAACTTGCCTTAAAGTTTGGGGCGGTCGTATCCCACGTAGTGTAGGCAGAACACCACTATTAGCCTGAACTCTATCAGATGCGCTCCAAGTTAGACTTTATTAGATTAAGATTCCTACACTGGAGCTATTGTTGTTAGTTGTACATCTTGTGCGTTTACGGAAGTCAAATGACGCTGTTGTGGTTGTGAAGGATTTTCTATTCTTGGTCATCAATGCTAGAAATGGTTGAACCGATATCAAAATTTCAGAATTTCTCGGACGGATATCATGCTTTTATTAATATAAATGCGGTTTCTATCCATGAATCAAGTTGAACGTATTATTTCATCACGTTGGGATGATAATCCATTATTAGTAAACTCAAATTCTACTGAATTCTAATTTTTCATTTCGTTTGTCTCTAATTCATTTTGAAATATTTCCGAGCTTGCAAGATGATGAACATTAAATTATAATATATATAGTATATCTGAGTTTGAATATTTCAAGATATTACTTCGTGCTAGTTGTGCTTTCTACTGACAATCCATTATTTTAGGCTTTAAATTCATCAGTACAGTCGCTAGTCACTGTCTAGGCGAGTATCAGAAACAATTTTGTCTTGTGAGGAATTTTTTTCATATTTGTGTGTCGGATGAAACTAATCCGTGTCTAAAAACTTGTACGTGCATAGCGTGTAGCTGGCAAAATGTGACCGTGCCCTACCATCGACCACTGGTATCGTGGCCGTGTTCAGTTGTGGACTTGCTATCTGCGTTTATTCTGTCCGCATTAATAATGGAGAAAGTGTGATGTGCGCGATGGAGTTAAAAGATTAGTAATGCCGATCTAATTTGAGGGAATGACCCCAGGGATTTTCTGCTGCACTCCGATGAGTCAAAATTACTCCTAAAGAACTCAGTCAATACATCGATTACGAGTCTATCTGATATGTTGATTACTTTGAAAAATATTTTAGTGTTGACACGTTTCATGTTTCCATTGTCATTAGTAATTGATTCTGCTGTTTGTGCTATACTGCGCATTGGTTATTATACTTGAATAAAAATTATTAGCCACCAGCAAACTGCTGCGCTTGGAAGTTAATTTACTTCATTTGTCGTTGAAAATTTCCGTTATCTTCTTTGGATCGCCTTACATCTTTCTGTTCTAGGTTAATTCTTAGGTATAGTGAAAATATCCAGATCAATTAATTTCGTTTTGAGTGAGGTAGTAATATATGCTTCGTAATATGTCCTTGTTATCTATGTTTTGAACTAAAATACTGTGCGTCTACGAAACTAACTGCAAAAAGCTGATTCATTTTTCTCTTGCGTTAGCGAGCCTACCATCAGGAAGTGATGATAAAGTGAGAACCTAAAGCTAGAAATATATTATTCGTGTCTTTATACTCGCTGTTCATATTTCATTCATTCATTGTTCTGTCCGTATAATACATGTCAGCCATTCATGGGACTTCAGATGGTCGTGTGAAATTTATTGACAAGATAACTAGGAAGCTAGCAATGCGTCGGATTCTCTAAGAAATACTTGTCTAAACTGCGTAGCATCGAGGAGTAGTTAACGTTGTAGTGTAATAGGCACACATTCTGCCGCTGCTATTGGTGGCCGTCGAATGACCATCTCAAAAAATAACGCATTGCCAAGATGCGGTAACGACGAAAGTTGAGACACCTTTCATTATTTTCATTTATTTTTAAGTTCACTTCATTCTGATTGACTGTTTTTTAGCCCTTTGGTCTGTACATTTTTGCTTGCGTGGCAATTTCTCGGCCAGCGCATTTTTCGTAATTTTTCACATCTCATATTTTGTTCCAAGCCTCAATACTTTCGGTTGTTCCTGGTACGGGTTCTCTGTCAAGCTCGCCCCTTGCCTGCATGAGTGTCGACATCTTAACACACAGTATTTGCGGAGAACTGAATCCAGTCATAGTAAATAAGGTACGGTTTATATTCACTGCCACGAGACTCGTCTTGACTTCGTTTAATTTTCTAGACCCAAATACTCCTTCTCAAGTTCAGGCCCAAAAAGAGGCAAAAATCGTTAGTCTAATGTAGTGCTCATGAACTCCTAGACGACTGATATAATTTAGGCATTCTCATTTTTGTTACTAAACGGAAGAATCATTTTGTTCACGGTATTATTACTTGTTGAATTTGTTGCTCTGTATTGTATGAAGATTGATTGTTTTCATGGTGTTCCTGCTGACATTGATATATAATGTTGCTCCGTCATAGCTGCGGCGATGACATCAAGGATGTCAACTGGAGAAGATTCCCTGCACTAGCGTAAATCCTAAACTTAAGACAACCTTTAAAAATAGAATGGTGATCTCGACTTATAAGGAAGAAATTTATTGCTTTAAAGTAGCCAACAATTATTTAGTAATTCATTAAATCCAAGACGTGAATACTATTGATATGAAGATCTTAGTCGTGTGGTAATCCGTCGTACGGCTTGCGAATTATCCCCATAAGCGCTGAAACTCATAAATATCCTGGACTACCCATTCATCCCTGTAGTGTTTAGTATGAAGGACCAGACATAATGACCGCTCGCTCATGAAGATTTTACTGTAAAGTGAAATCTCGTTTAAATTATAGATGGGATACTTCATGGAGTAGCACTCAGATCGCCATGCGGTGTTACTGCTTGCGGTACGGTGTTGAGCGTGTGCAGTGCTTAAAGAACATTTAATTGTATCAATACATGTAGCTTGTGTCGTACCAGTTAACGCGCTTCACTCGTGTTCTTTTTCTTCAGGTTCATTTCGTTTATTGAGTATCGTTCACCTACTGTCCAGGGAGCTGCGAAATATCTCGTCTCATCGGCGGTTTATTTATTTTCGATACTTCGTGTGTATTTTGGTACACGAACAAAAGCAATGTGAATTCTGGTTTAATGTACCTGTATATCCAGAATTAATCTGTTGTTCCTCAAAGAAATTGTAAACTATCGCTCTTGGTTACAATATTACATCAAGCCAAATTGTGTAAAAATTCTCAAATTCTAATATTTCTTTGCGGGGTGATAATTCTAGATCGCTTGCTGCATTTTTGCCTCTCTGGTAGGCGTTTTTAATGTCAAACTAAGGCCTCGATATCTCAGCATGTGCCTGAAACTTCTTGGCAATTTCCACTCAGTAAATGTAGACTCTTTATTGTCTCGTGACATTCTTTGAATCATATTAAATCTAATTGAATGCGTTTCGTAACTTGTTAGTGCTCGCATTGTTCACTAATATGCTTCAAAATTAACCCATGCGCTTTTATGCATATCGTTTTCATTTTTGCAGAAGTATTCGTCTGTGCATCATACATCATCTCACATTGTAACACTCGAGCTAGAAGCGTTAAATTATTCGTGTGCGCATAATGATGTCGAATAAATATAGACCTGTCCGAGTTTCTTTTGTCCTTTTTCATGCCTGTAGTGAACTCGACATGTGTGCTAATTGACAATATTCCAGCGGACTATTTGATGTTTTGACGCATTGTTCGTTGGCGATTATAAAATACACATTTAATTTTCTGTGCACTGCAATATTCTTGGATATTTATCACGCAGTCATGCCACATCAATCTCTGTAGCACTGAATAATGTTATTATCGATTGCATGGAGCATCATGTAGGGCTGGAGAAATCTCACAGAGAGGATGAGAAATGAATTAATCCTCCAATATTCTGATGTGCACGACAAACCGGAGGACACCGACGTAAAAATTTGTTCACCTATGAAATTTCAAGATTTATTAATCTGATTTTTTAGACGATGGACAAGAATTAATTGATGCTCTTCACGAATTGCATTGGTTCAAAAGTTCTTCCTCATGTTAGGGTTTAGCTTCAACTTCCGGCGCAATAATTAATGAGCCTGTCGTATTTTGTTCTTGTAACTTTGAACCAGACATTCTTCGAATTTTACTTTAAAATTGATCCCATGAAATAGCCTCAATACACTGGATTGTCGGCAGTTTCCATTTCCTGTTCACTTTAATTATCAAGTGTATTAATAAATTATACCTTAAACCTCATATTCCGATCCGATATTTCATTTGTGCATTTTCTGAACTGATGAACCTAACTTCCAAAGCGTTTTCTTAATTATACGCAGAATTTTAAATTATTTTTTACTCTAATATTACAAATTTAATTTTTTTCATGTAAAGCTTTTCATAGCAAAGTTTCGAGAAATCAAATATATTTGCTGGATACATTTCATGACTATCATTAGCTCGCAGTCAATACTCAATGTAACGTTCAAGAAAGGTTATAAATTATCAAGACGTTGAATATTTAAAACAATTACCAAACCTAATGAGCGTTCTATCGATTCAAATGTGCACATTGAAACCTTACCTGCGACCTCCAGTCGCAAACTAGTAGGAAACATTTCAATTAATTAAAATTATTAACAACAGAATAATAATATATTACTGTTTAAATTTACTCTGTCTTATTTTGAATGTGTATATACTGCTGAGTTCAGAAACTTGCTTCTAGGAAAAACGGAAGCCTGTCTAATTCTGATTTTCTCATAGTACGAATACGTGCTGAAACGAAAGTTATATATCCAGCTTGAGTTGCTGCAAAGTTCATGCAGGGGGTTGAAATTTAATCGCGCCTCAACAAATTTTTCAAATAATTCATTTAATTATAAAGGTGGATTTCAAAATTCTTTTACTCGCGGACAACCCGGGCAAAATTTGCAAATTTTTGTGTACAATTTTTTTATATTTTCTTCCCATTTCACAACCTGGTATTGGTTTATTAATGCCTTTACTCTATTATTAGGAATAGGATTATATATTCTTTTGGAAGAATCAGATTCTCACTGAAGCTTGGTGTGTTGGAGAATATATTCATCGTTCAGTCATGATCTTCGCAGTGGTAGGGCAAGGGAACCCACGATCGATGAATCGACTTTTGTGCACTAGAGTTTTAATTAAGTCTTTGTGCGAGGAGAAGGTCAATCGACACTGCATGGCGGATGAGCTTCAACCAAAATATGTCCGTTGATAAGTATTTCGGTTCCGGTCATTTTCTTATTCGGTGAATTTTCCGTAATTTAAGCTAAAGCTCTTTTGTTTTAGTTGTAACCAATTAGATTTTTTAACTATTGTACAACATGAAGGTGAAATCATAGTGATAAATTGGCCTTTTTCTGAGCATTTCTCTCAACTTTTGCACGAATTTGTCCGTTTTCAATTCATATTAATTAACTCGGGTAAAAAATTTTATCACTCAAGGCACTTCGGTCATAGCCGTTGGTATGAAATATTTTTTCAGATACAAAAAGAAGATTTGCCTTTTATTAAAGAATAATCTGATAACCAAACTTATTTTGAAACAATTTTGGAAGACATCAGATTCA